CAAGGGTATCGTGCAGTGTCAAAAACAGTCACATGTAAGTGTATATGCATGGACCTGGCTCCACACACATGTATTTTTAAAAAAAAGAAGAAAAAGCCCCCTCCACTTCCGACTATATTGTGCCAAAGTAACTTCTCAGTGCTGTAATCATTGAGCAGTCTAAGGTGCTCAGCAGTGTACACTATGCAAGCCAATTTCATGGAGCTGCTGTGAATCAACCACTCATGAGAAGCACATATGGAGGGTGATATTTTGGCTGGTATCCTGTTTTTGCAAAGTAAGGCATGTACTTAGCTTTGGCTTGAAATTATGCACGAGTTAATGACTGTGGCTGCAGCCACTTCCCACAGCATCGTATGTAATTTCAAGCCGCAGCAAAGTGATTTGGATATGGCTTAATTTTGGTATCTGTGCTGAGCAAAGTTCTGCAAACAGCCACTAAATGGAACTGGATCCTGCTTAACTGAAAAGACTTGGGTGACTAACTTATGATTTTGTCAAGTCTTGTTGCAGCTTACAAGTACACAATGCAGGGGACGAACAAAGGCAAAAGAATGTTGTTTTCACAGTTCATTGGATTTGCTTATGCCTTGAGACAAGTTGTGATTGGCTTGTGATGAACTAAGGACAGACTCCAGTCCACCATCAAACTGACTGAAATATAACTGAAATCCCAGGATTTATATTATGTACTGTTGTGGATGGTCAAAAAAAGTCAATGACCGGATTTTTTTGCATTATCAAGGCGCATGAAAATAAAATTCTTGTCTTGACAGCTGAAGAAAAGAAGACGGCACACAGACACTATATTTTCAGCATCTAGGTTTTAACACCACCACTGATTTTGTACTACATATCCAGAACGCACCAGTCTGTTTGGTTCTGTCTGTAAAATTTTCCAGTATTTTTCTCAAGTGTCTCTCTGAGCAGAGTACCACTTACCGAACTTGCAACATGTACACACACTCACCACTGATACAGCTCAACCATGCATTGTAGTGTTGCTGAGCACGAAGAGCGCTCATTGTGCAAAGTAATGTAAATGCAGCTTCCACTGTCGGCAATGACCCCAAGCAGATGTGTCTGTGTGCATGGCGTGGGGGGATAATTTGAGGGAGATACAGGGTAGTTATATATATTTTTTTCAAGAGAGGCAGTGCAGTGCGGCTTCCAAATCCAATGTATCCCCCCCCCGATTGTTAACTACATTGTCACTCATTGTTTTCCAGGCCCTTTGGGTAGAGTCTCTAACCAATGGGGTAATGCGTGTGCATTCCGGTATTATTCTTAATTTCCAACAGCTTGCCAAATTGGATTCAAGTGTTGATCCAAACCGCCATGTTCCATATGCCATCTGCCAGCTAAATACATAACGCAAGTCAGTACACTGTCGCTCCCGGTACGCATTACGCACTACTCCCATCCCTTTTCAATTGAGGTGATTCTGGGCAAACTGTAATTCTTTCAACAAAGAAAATGGAGCAGTACATATTTTTCTTTTCTATTCCTTGGCCTCTTCCCCTTCTTTTTTTTTGCTCCCCTCTGCGCCAAGGTACGTATCTGGTAGCAGTGCACTAGAAGCCATCTGTGAGGAGAACAAATTTGTTCTTTTTCATTTCGGGTTGACGGATGCCTACATGTACCTCCCTTCCACTGATGTCCAAACAGTGTCATTTTTATTGGACTTAAAAGGATGATGGGACTGTTTTTATTGTGTCAAAAATTGGGAGACTGTAACAATAACCGCTGAGAGACTCAAATAATAACTGTCTCATCACGACATTGATGGCATCATTTCTCGATGTCGTTTCCCTTAAAACAAACATTGCTACACGCCATGTCAAAAAAGAAAAAATCTGGGCAAGTGCAATATATAAAAGGACACTAGTCACCTCCTCTTTTTCAAAGAACCCCCCCCGATCTTTCAGAATCTACCAAAATGTCTGGGAAGGCTGCAGGTTGCCGGATTTTGCAGGAATTCGGGGTCTTTTGAAGCGCAAATACAAAATCATTTGCAACATACATGTAGTTCTCTTCAGAGAGGAGAATTTTGAAATCAAACCTGGCCATGGAATAACAGTACTTAAGAACCGCAGTCACTTTCTTGCATGTAATGCTACAGCAATAATAATATAAAGATGCAGCCTGTTAAATTAATGAAGACTGAATAATGAACATGAAGTGCAGTAAATATTTACCCAAAAAAAATTCAACACTTCATTTCTATTTAACTACCAGAAGGACTACCGGTACATAAAAGTGAGCTTATTATATCAAAAGCATGTACACATACATGTACACTGTCCATTATCGGTACAACAGCAGCGCAGTGGAATTAAATCTTTTAAGGTTACTTTTTTTTCTGGTGAACAGAGGCATAGTCATTCAAAAGATCAGCATATATACCCTTAGTGTACAATGGCACCAAAAGTACAACGAAGAGAGTGGAGCTAAACTGCAGTTACATGTACGGGCAAACATTAGAAGTTCCTTGGGGCTACAAATTCTCCCTATATGGAACTGGGAGGTGAAACTTCTTCAATCCAGTACATGGCTCAGCCAGTGCTGACGTAAGAAAATCTGCTTAACATGCATTGAATACTTCCACAGTCTTCCTCCTTAAGTGAAATGTAACACATCTTGAAGCTCTTATGTCAAAATACATGTACCCATTTTTAGGGGCCATCCATAAAAATGCCTCCTTTCCAAGTGCAATTCCAGCTACAAAAAACTTTCCCGAATCTCCACCAACTTTTTGTGCAGGAAACCAGAGGACATCCATTAAAGTCCTAACTTTCTGAACATATTGAGCCCCATGGAAAGTAATGGCTGCTGTGCTCTGTCCCCTTCCTCCATCCTGCAAAATCCTTCATGACCTCCTCCATGACCTCTGTCAAATTTAGAGGGTCTGAGGAGTCTTTTTCCAATGAACCTCATTCTGCAATATTACTAAAAAAAAATTCAATCTCAACAGCGACACCCCGAACTTTGTATTTTCAAAGGTGGAAAAACCTCCACTGGTACCTTATCTGCCGGCAATCAGCCTGGGAACTACTCATCTGGAGTTGCAATGAAATTGAAATTTTCGAATAAACGCTGTGGATGGTATTTCCATTTATTTTTTAAAGAAAAACTGTGTGTATTTACATAGAGATACCATGTGCAAAGTTTGTGAAAATTTCCTAGGAATGATTGACATTATTTTGTTATGGTGAATTAGTGTTCTGCCTGCAGAATCAAGCGCCGGGAGTTTCATTAACACAGATCCTGGGAGAAATAAATTTGCCTGTGCATAACACATCATGATGACCCAAATAAAAATGCATAAATACATTTAGCGGGAATAGTGTCACTTCTTATGTCAAAATGGTACATTTTAGGTCACTGCTAAAACAAACAATTGACACATCTGTGAAGCTGACTAGCAAACATTTGGCAGGAGCTAAACTGACAGAAAAAAAAACAAGCATGCAAAATTTACTTCAGCAAGTACCACAGCAGGCAAAAACCTTTATGACAGGGAACATAGTTTGGAAAAAAAATTCAACTGTCGAGAAGTTCGATGAATTCCATTTATCTCTTGCTTTTTGTCTCCTGTCTACACAAATATGACAACTCTGAGTTACTGCAGAATATGAAAGCATCCCTCAAAATGTGAATTTACATACACGTAACCACAAAACCCCCTATCCATTTCTTCAGCTTACCAAAATACCTACAAGAACAAAACATAAATGCTTTGAGGACATTCTTTGAAACCACTGTTCCCTTCCTCAGTTCCTTTTGCTTGGGCTTCAACTTTCTCTTGACATATCTCCTACAGTTTGTTTACAAAAACAGCTGAAGGCCTCAGGCTAAAGTCTTCATGATCGTTGTTATCTCTGGAAACCCTTTGTTCTAAAGCCCTCACTCTAATCAAAAGATAACCTCTGCAATGGCTAAGGATCCTACACACACTGTGCACACAACACAAATGTACATTGTACATGTACATGTAGGATCTGTCAAAGATATACATGTAAATATATATATTCCCATTGCAACATCTCGAGGTGTGAACCACGAGCTAGGATATTCAATGGATGCCAACTGAATGGGCCATTGTATCAGATGCTCACAATTTTCAGAGACTGCATCGCACAGCAAAACCACAATGCATGTCAAACTTTAAAGAATTAAGTCAACTTGTAAGTAGACATTTTTTCCTAATTTCAAAGCACGGTGATGTAAAACAGCCTATTTCACATCCATCCAATTTCCATTCAAATTGAAACCACTGACACTCTATGCACTGCAAAGATTTATGGAGATGTTCATTTCTAGAAATGAACCAATTTGAATAAAGTCTCGTACACATGGCCCAAATTTCCTGCCAGTTAATTACAGATAAACTGTTGATAAATTCCCATCCATCAAGTCACCCACAGAGGTGAAAATAGCTCCAACATTTCACAGGATCTCCATTGGAAGATAATTATGTAAACAGAACAACTCAAGACAGAGATAACCAATATCAGTTATCACTGAGATCTGAGTAAAATGTGCAGTGTGACAAATGCACACTAAGACCTGAATGTGCCCGTGACCTATTGCACTGTGCAGACTGCAGCTGCTTTGGTTATTCTTGTTTTTTTTTGTGTCAATTGCACTGAGGATCCACAACAGGGCAAGAATTTTCCGCACTCTAAAATGGATCTAATGATTTCAATAAAAATACTGTGAGACAGACGGGCTCCTGACATATACATGTATTACTAGCAGCAGTGTCCTCAACAGTTGGGCAATGTTGTATATGTAGAGACAGTTTGCTGACCAGTTCACACACACCACATCTGACCTGTATAAGCGCATTTGTAACAGCACAAAAGCAATCACTCTGATCAATTTTTTTATTCAAATGCATACACTCCACAGTATGACCCAGTTGCACTCGAATATCCTCAAATTGATCATAAATCAAATACAAAGTCTACCACAAGTGAAATCACTAGCCTACTCACAAGTAACAGTGTTAATCCATGAATATCTTTATCACAGGCAAGTGATAGGCTTGTGACTTGAAGTGAGGCCAGATATAATACACATATACAGCATACATGTAAGTGTAGCTTGTACATGTACACTGGACTTGATCACAACACTGCATGAGTGATTATGCTACCAGTCGAAGTGCCTTTGTGTGGAACACATTTGACTGGTAAAATCAGCAGCTCATTTGATGATAAAGGGCACAGAACCAACCTGCAAAAGAACTGTGGATCCATGTGTAATTGCACATGAAGATTATGTCCATGTGTCATACAATTCTGTCCATAAAAACTGATACTTCTTTTATTATTATTATTTTATTCAGAATTCAATCAACTAAGCAACAATTGTACACAGAGAAAACAAGATACGGTTGATTCATTCTGGGATAATCCAAGCAAGCCAATTACACAGGCCTATTTCCATTGGGGTCCCTAAAGTACATATATGGACAAATTTACAAAATTACACATATGGTAAATTTAACCCCATGACAACTGTCAGTCCGTGGATATGTTGTGTATCCATCTCACATTCAAAGTATCAGCCTCTAACAAATGGTCTATTCTACGGACCCAAGGAAAATGAAAAAAACGATCAGCCTGCACCGAACTGTAACCTAAAACCCAGCAAATATGTGCAGCACAAAATTCATGCATCCATTCATCTTAACTGACAATCGTGTTTCACAAAAACACAACACAATGCAATAGTGAATGTCTCTTGATCCTTGACACCAACTTTACCAATACATCCCGGGAATAATTTTCAGCAAAAAAATTGCATAGCAAATCTGCTACACAAAATAATTTTTGCGTAGCAGTTGGATAAACTTGTATAGCTATGTTTTTTTCACGTAATCACAGTGCAAATTTACAGCACACAATTACAACGTGACAAAAATATCCAAAAATAATTCCAGAGTCTACATCCAAATAATTCCATTTATTCCACATCAAAAACCACAATGAATCCAGACAGAGTCTAGTCCGAATTGAGCGATTGAGTTGAGAGTAACATAACGTTAACAACACAACAAAACAGCGCACATGTGAGGATAATAGGCCGTTTCAGATTCCAAAATGCGCAATCACAGTGCGGCCGAACCATAGAGCAGAACAGACATAAATTCTTTAGTGTGCATGCTCAGTTGCTGTGGCCAGTGCATCGTCCTCAAAGTGACAAGTCTTTGCTTTTTCACATCGTTGCTTGGTCATCGCATCCACGTAGTGGATGAAATCTTAAACTCCCTAACTAGTTGACTACATGTGCATTGTCACTGCACTGAAGGCAATGAATCAAACAACTTTCATGGTCCGTTTAGAAGTTTACCATAGTACTCCTACATGTATGTGCTAGTGTGAAAGCTGAGACTGATTAACAGCTGAAGGCTCATTCATGTAAGTATTCTTTCCCGCACAAATTGTGCTATGGAGAAACATGATTTTCCTTTTAATTCATTTCTTCATCTCTTAATGTTTGATACCAGTTGGAACGTGGCATATTGAATTAATCGATAAGCTGGTCTCAGCTGAATTTGTAGTAAGCACCCTGGCCGCGCGTGCACGAGAAAGGAGCATGTCGTAAGGCAACTTTGTGATTGAATAGCTATGTCTGGCCAAGAGTACGTCATGCAAGCGCACATTCTCATTGGAGGTCACTCCAGTTCTGCCACTCGTATTATGAAGAAATCAGTGATTGGGTGGTAAGCATTTAATTCTGTAACAGCTGATTTTGTACTAACGAGAGTCAACTGAATATTATAGGCTTACGCTGTGTTTTCTTGTGTTATCAGCACTTCACAGCTAGCTTAACAATTCAGATTACAGGGACAGTGATTGCAGAGTGCCTCTCTCTCATACCAAATGGATTCGCTCGTAAACATGAACATGTACTTGTATGTTTCTGGTTACATCACAGCAACTAAAAAAAATAAATGAAAAGTGCACAGCAAATGGATGAAAATGCAGTGCGAATTGCCATGCAATACTGGGAAAATTATTCCCTGGACATCCCCTATTGAAGAGTGGTTGTATCGTGGAAACTTGGGACACAAATGAAAGTAACAGGTGCTCTGTCTTTTTAACCAGGAGATCACAATTCCTCCCTTCTCCAAATGTATATTGACACATCACTCTCCAAAATGAGAAGGCCACAAGGTAAACCCAGACACTGGAGGAATGACAGCACTTGAACGAAATGACAGTAGAGACAGCATCATGAGTAACACTGAAGGCTACAAGAACAAGGCAACCAGACACATGTACATGAACAAGCACATGTATTCTGAAACCAATCCAAAATGTCTACCTGGATATCTGGCCAGCCCCTCATGCTCTGACCCTATCTCTACTGACAACCTAACCCCAAGGTATGCCTTATACATGCACCAGTCTCAAGCATCCTGGTCTGCAACAAGCAAACTTGGCTGAGCATTCCCATAATCCACCCCCACCCCCTTGGAATGGTTGTACTTGTACTTTAGTCAAGGCCATCAAAAGTCCCTGCAAGTACACGGCAAGTCCTCCAGTTGAAAGTGCAAGCTCTTCAAATGAAAGGTGACTTTGTTGCTTGGTCTTGTGAAAGGACTTACATATATATGACTGGTCTTGCGAGGGGACTTGTGAATGACTTCTGATGTCCTTAGCTATTCTTACTGCCCCTTGGGGAAGCCTGCATATGTGACCTTTGAGGGAGTCTGGGCATCCTGTTGGTCCACAAGATGGATACTGATGATAGTTAAGTATTCCTCCTATCAAGAGCTTTGTCGATCAGTGCAATGTTTTTGGCCTCACTTCCTCCCAAAAAACTATTATTTGCCTAAAAAGTGTGCATACAACCCACTGACCACTAATGAAATAAGTTTTTAACCTATGTTTGGGACTTCCAAGAATGGAGTGCCCTGAGTACCTGCTTTAAGGGCTTTTTTATATCTTACGTCTTGTCTTTTGCTCTTGTTTCTATAACGTTAGTTTGCAGTAACATCCCCCAGCACCCTTGCCCGAACTGTGCCCTTTTCAGATAATGGCAAAAGCCACCATAATGGTTTGAGTTTCTGAGACCACCGTTCTCTTTGCCTCCACACAGCGAGTTCTCTGAGTCTTCCTCTGCCCATAGAATCCATGTTGTAGTGCTGCAATGGTGTCCTTTTTCCTGTTCTTGCTCCTGGGACTTGCCTTCCCACCTAATACATTGACTGCACTCCATGCATGACCCTCCAGCAGCCACCTGCAATCCTCAACTGTACCAAGATCCCTATTGCAGAGTGCAGAGTCGTGAGCAAACTTTCTTCCACTTGTTTTAGATCTTCCTGAATGAGACGGAATAGTGTCTCCTACCAAATCCCTCAATAGAGGGTTTGCATGGCTGCCATCTTTAGTTCAAAAAGGTATGCAAAAATGAGGTTTCCTTGTGGAACAAAAGACCTGGCCTGCAAGATGGCTACCATTCAATGCCTCTATACAACTTCTACGATACACTGATGGCATTCCCCAAGTCTAGTCTCAAAATTTGGGACCCCCAATACTATACATGAGAGTCCCAAAACCTATGGCAATGAAAACATGAAATGCAGGAAAATAAACCAGCACCTGTCCGGCAATCTTTCACTACAGCATCAATCATGTTAATTTATAATGTCAAAAGGAACAATGAAACATAGTCTATTTTTCCATATGCTTTCCTTAACAGATAACAAGCCAAGAGGCTACTAGTTTAAACTTTTAAAAAGTTTTGGCCTGTAGCAATTCCGGTGTAGTCTTTGGAAACTTTAAATCACTTGGCTTCACTCTCAGAAGAAGAAAAGTCACCTACAAAACTGAATTTGGACCCCATACTTAGCAGGTAAAATATTGGGGATCTACATGTAAGTCTTTGCCTCGTGAAAATGTTGGGGAAATTTTTTCTGCTGAGGAGTGTGTAAAGTGGGCATAATTTTTTATTTGAAATTTGTTCTCTAGACTTGGGGTTCAGGCTCCCTACAAGGCCCACCTTGATCAGGGTCCATGCTGTAGTATTGTGACCAGGGCTTCTTCCTTTTATCCAAGGCTTCTTGTTTCCTCTCCTTCCAGTCCAAGTCCTCATTCATGATGGCCATCTCGCACATGCCTGTGTCATCACTGGTGATGAAGGAGTGCCGGATGTGGGCAATGATGAATGCTGGGTCATCTAGGAGAGCCATCTTGCCCACAAAAGTTGGAGATTTCCAAGTTTTCCACACACAGCTTTTGTTTGGGTTACAAAATTACAACTCAACTCTCTGTGTCACCGTGGATTCCTGAGGTGGACTCCTAATTTCCCTCACAGGCCGGCGCTAAAACTCTTCAAGCTGTTATGGGAAGCTGTTGTCACACTATTTGAGTAGAAACAGCATTAATGCCAAAACAAGGAATATTCACTTTGCTGATCAATGCTCAAGAAGTTCAAATGTTTCTCCAGCAGTTCTCACATCCTCACAGTTTAACAAGTTCTTGAATTAAATAACTTGGGCAGATGGTGGCAGTAGTTCATTTGAACAGCACTGTACTGTTTCCTTTCAGGAAAGTGGAGGTCCTGTGAATTCTAAGGAGAAAAGAAACAAAGTTTAGCATGCAAAAATCTGCAGATGAGTGCAGTTTTATATCCCATCACAAATTACTACATGTAAATGCATGACACATGTGTAACCAAACCTGTCCTCAATTTAAAACATAAACCAAAACAAAACTGAGAACAGTGGAATGACTTTTTGTATGTCTAAGGTCTTCTGAAACTACATTTGTATATACATGTAAAGGCCATCCCAAATCAACTGCTATATATAATTTTTGAAATAAATTAAAAGCCTCAGAATAAAGACTTTCATGTGCTTCATATTGTAATGATTCTGCATTATATGGCTGCCCATCACTTACAAATTGAAAATACTGCTTAAAGGTGTCTAAAAACTGTCAACAGCTCGGTTAGTATCTAATAATTTATACAAGCTAATGAAAGTTGTACATGAAAAACATTTTTTTCTCAATTTTTTTAACCACAAGTTTAATGTAGGATATTCCTCTGTTTGAAAAATTCTTAAAGAATTCCTGACCAAGACACCTAGACCAATAGCATATTCACCATGCACGCCTGATAACATCTCAGAATAATAGCTACTTCACGAAGTTTATTCACCGCCATGACCGCTGACAAGCTAAGGAAAGAATTCCTTATAAAACCATCACAGTTTTTGAGCTGTTGAGTGTAATTCAAAGCATAAATAGTCTTGTAAAGGGACACCTGTCGTGCCCGTAGAATAGAGTCCAGTGCCAGCGTGTTATGAAACAAGGAACAAAGAGTTTTGAAGTAGGCCTAAAGGGGAAATGAGTTTTAAAATATGAAAGAAAGGGCCACTGCTGGATAAACTTGCTGGTGTTTATGATAATGCTAAAAAGTAAAATTGTGATGGTTTTCCATGGATTTTTTTCCAATGCCAAATTTACTACACTTGACACATGTTTCTCCATTTGTATATGTGGCTTGTAAACACTCAGTGCAGTATGTCACACCCCTAAAATCATGACATGCGCAATGCTTACGACACAGGTACATGCATGACATCATGTAGATGTACATGTACTACACCTAGCATGTAATTTGTATGCAATAAACACGAATGTCGAATGACACTGAAACAGGTGTATCCACTCACAATATTGAAGACAGCGCCAACGAACACGAACCAACAGTCAACGCTGTCGAAATCAACAACTTAATTATTGAGCAACGGAAAATGGTGCATATGACTTGAATGGTCTCATTTGTTCCCTCAAAATATCATTTTAGTATGTACAGTACATGTAAAACTTTACATGCAGTTAACCGTTAACTACAGAACAGTTCGATGGTTCGACCTACCGTGAGCTGCCATCTTGCTTCCCAGCATGCACCAGCTTATTAATATTGGATAGCATGTTCCATTTATTATGAGGGGTACAATGTTTCCTTTGAAACGATGGGAAGTATTCGAGACTGTGACACACATAGCGTGAAAAATGCCAAACAAAAAACAGTACCTTAGAAACTGCCCAAGTATAGTGTAATAACAGCCCAATCAAATTCGAAAAAAGGAGAAAGATTCAGAAGAAAAATTATGTTCTCGAGGAGCGCACCCAAACAGTTTGTTCGTGATTTGAAAAGTTTGGTACGTTTTTCTTCTTTCGATCGAGTTGGCAGCGGGATTATTATTATATTTATTCATTCGGCCAACACAAAACAACACAACATAGCATTCATTGCAATATGTAAACAATGAATTATACATATAAATGATGAGTAAATTAATACAATTTGAAAATGGAGGAAGGAAGATTAAATAGGGACACAAAGACAAACCAATCTAAGACGGCATGATGAACAAAAGTGAAATTCACTGTGGCCCAGAGGCCTGCTCATCCAATCCTTGACTGGGGTAAAAAGTACATGTAAATTAAAATAAATAGTATTCTCAATTAATATTGTTAATGTGTCTAAAAGGGGTACGGGTGGAGCACACAGGAGTACATCCCCACCCCTCCAACATTAGCCAAGCCACTGATTATAAGATCGGATTATCGTAAAACTGCATAATTAAAAGGTATTAACCCCATAGGGTGTATGTAAAATCATATTGAAATTGGAGGCTTGAGGGCTGTTAGAGTTAGGGTTAGTATTATTAGTAGAAGCGAATTTTTTTAAATCGCTATTTCGTGAAGTTTATTGGAACGTTGTTCGTGTGCCGCACCTAAAAATGTTACCACATTACAGTGAAAAACACAGTGGTGAACTAAGCGCACGTTTTTGGGGGGCCTGCGTACGTGTCTCATGTTTGCACAGTTGACTATGTACATGTACCCCTTTCCCGGTTCAGTATACTTCAGCCTATTATTACGTGCAATACCCTAATACCCGTATTCCTGTCAGACGAGAAAAGACGGATCAGGGTAAATGTTGCAGTCGACAGGTAAAAGAGAACCCTCTTCCGCACGGGATGCTCCAAAAAGCAAGGGACCACAATTTACACGCGTCCACATTACAGCCGACACGCTGAACTAAGACCACGTATGCTTTAAATTAGCTACACGTGTTATCCAGGTATTTTGCGTCTACTATCCCATCCCTGAAAAAAGAAGCTTTTTTCTTCAATTCCAATTTTAATTTTGTGTTCTTCAAAGCTGCAGACGGACAAGAGACACGGTTACCTGAATAGCCTAAAAGGAAGTTGTTGTTGCGAACTGGTCGACATGGAAAAAACAATCTGTTAATGAGATAACATCTCTTGTCGGCTTACAAGTAATAAAGTATATCTCTTCTTTGGATAGGATGTCTCCAACCATCAACTGTTCAACGTCAAATCTACACATTTCACAACATAAATTCTTGATTCTGAGAATCTTGGACATGGAAGGGTAATTTAATTGCTGTTGCTATATCTTACACACGCACACACACATACCAAATCAAATCACATCTCAAACAAGGAAAGAGAGAGCGAGGGATCCCATTAGACCCTATGGGTGTTTATCAATGCAGCTTTGACCCAATTAGCGTTTACGTCAAACTTGTATTTCCGTTCACAGGATAATTAACAGATTATGTAAATTTACTAATTTCAAAAATCCCGCCCATTAAATTATGAATAATGTGAAGATAGCGATATAAAAGCCCAGCCATTCGTAGTTGGTGAAATACTTCTCAAATCCAAGAAGCATGACAATAGGCGTGATCAACCTTGACAGACAAATGCATTTTCAATCACGGCCATTAATTACCCATTACTACTTTTATCTTTAAGACAAATCAGGGCCTCACATTAAATTATACATGTTAGCCAACTCAACTTGGGATTAGGGGTGGCTCTTCTGTCGGCGCGTAACAGGAATAGCATGGTAATAGTTATTAGACAGTTCTTTTAAAAGAGCTATTTTCTACATGGCGATACTTCTCAACTGGTTATAGTCACGGTGTTTACCAATATTAAGCTCGGTTCTAAAATTTACAGCTCCGTCTTGGCTATTTCAAAACGAAACGGCTCCTGCCATTTGACCCCTCCGACCCCTCCACACGGAAAGCAAACACGGACTTTACCTACTAGCGAATAGGAGTCCCGTTGGTCGTCCGTGGCAACCGTCATTTACGTATTAGGGCGGGGCATGGCGGCTTGGGTTTTGACACGTCTGCAGATTTGAGTGGCATTTGTGGCCGTCAAGCCGTGTTCATCCCACCTCCACACATCACACCAGAATAAAAACATTTCATCGGCTCCTTTCTTTACTACGTTTACGTCCGTACATTGTGAATCCCCCGTTCATCCACGTGCTTGAGCTGTCAACCCGAAGGATCCACAAAATCTCGGCGGTGAAACCGATTGAGCAAGACGGGTCCGACGTGAGCCGTGTATGGTGCTGCGAACGATCGGTGCCCGTATAGCCGTGTGTTTTCCCTCCCGTTCTTCTATCAGGACATGGACGATCAACAAAGGTCCCTAATGCAACACCAGGGAGCCCTAGTGCCTAGCATGCACTCGGTATCGGCCGGCCATGTGGTGCATTCGCCCCACCACCAACAATCCATGGCGAGCCTGTCGAATCTGCACCACGGCATGCAGCCGCCACCCGTCACCAGCCACGGCACGGTGGACCAGCAGCAGCAGGGACAACATGCCGGGGAGCTCACGCACTCGCAGGAAGCAAGAAAGCAGGAAATCGGAGATATTCTACAGCAAATCATGACCATCACGGATCAGAGTTTAGACGAGGCCCAAGCAAGGTGAGTACGAGTTGCCGTTGCCGTAAACGGTGAAGTATACGGTATACGATCAGTGTGGTTCCCTCTCGTTACACGCACACTTCGGGTCGCATGTCGTTGGTCGTAGTTGACAACCCAAGTTCAAGGCAAATCACATAACCTTATCCTGCCAAACTTTACAAAAAAGCAGCTTGTTGTCCCGTCCCCATTATTTTGTATTTGTTTCCACTTTCATTCATGTTGCGATCGCGGCAGTGCATGAGACCTCCGAGTGCTCTGTAGCCTGCACGGCACACACGGATGGCCGAACCGCCGCTCGTCGTCGTGCAGTGCCGGTGTCACCCCCAGTGTGTTTTCGCGCTCCGGTAAACCCCCCTTGTCTTCCAGCCGGATTTCTCGTTTGGCACCGGTGATTTATCCTCGGCCTAACTCGCTGTGTCACCCCCTCTCATTCAACCTACAGAAAACACGCACTCAACTGTCATCGGATGAAGCCTGCTCTATTCAGCGTGCTCTGTGAGATCAAGGAGAAGACAGGTAAGGTGTTTAAGGGGGCCAACCTCAATCCCCGACCCCCGCTGGAAATAACCAGGCCCGCGACCGGGCCGCCGCCCCAAACCAACCCAGTCACGTCAAGTCGTCTAACCACCTCCCCCCTCCCTTTTTTGGGCTTTCCAGCTGATCTTCTTTTGGCCTGGTCGTGTTTACTAATTGTCATGACTGGAAAAGTAGCTCTCATTGCTCAAATTATTTGACAGATGACAAAAGGGAGCCATCAATCTATCACGGTTTTCTGAAATTGTCGGCTCTGTGTAGGGCATCTCATTATTATACATCTTTGTCGACAGAGTTCAGTACTAGTGGGACATCCTTTGAACTCGCAGTTGCAAATGCTGCAAAAGATGGTCGAGTATAATGTCTTCCAGTGGTTCATGATTTATGTGGGGTTTTTGCTAGTTACTGTTGCTTGTGTTCTTAAATATTTTTAAGTGGTTCACTTGAAATGTAGGACTTTCACAAGAAATGTGGCGTGAAATGTTCAACTGTTGGCTTATTGGATGATGTATCAACCAGCCTTGAAAATTGCTTTATCTCCTGACTTGATTTTTAGTAGATGTAAAAATCATAATCTATTCAACTTCCCATATTTTCTGGGATGTGGCATCATGCAAACACTCAAACTGATCAGGTTTCTTAACATTGTTATGCAAGTGAGTGTATCTGTTCAGTGTGTTGCTATTACTATTTCATTGTTGTGCACGGGCCTACATACATGTAGGTCAAGAATTGGAAGCTATTCTGCGGTTTGCCTTTTGAAGTTGACACAGTGGCCTATTTTGAAACAGTTTAGCACCTCATCATTAATCCCCAGTTTAACAAAACACATCTTCTGAGCATAGAAAATGCATTTAAATTAGATGCTTGTGCTAGTTGTAGTTGAGTGTGAAAGACCTCACCTAACTCTGGCTAAAATTGCCTTTCAGAGACACTTAAAGTCATGAATGAATGTCTTTTTAAAAGTGTGTTTAAGTGATTGCTTTTTAATGGGGAAAAAATCGAAGGGATTTTCTGACCTTTCTGCCTGTAGGAATGTTTTACTCATGCTAGATATGAATTAGTATTTGCACTGGCGCCAGTGGGCTGGTTCTTTGGTGAATTGTATCTCTTTTCTTGCCATGTAATACAATGCTGTATCATGTAATACAATGATTGTGCAGCATCCTGCTGGAAAAGTCTACATTGTAACCAATTCAGTGTGCTACTGTATTTAGCATTTGTGGCACACTATATTTCTTTCAGCATTTTGTGCACTGAATAAACTGAGTGATTGTTCAAGGTATCATTACTTATCACAGTTTTCCCTGCTATCTTGTGTATTTGCAAACACCAGATCAGACAGGGAAACACACTGCTTCCACATTATTACATATTGATTCTTCTGTTTATCATTAATTTTTTTCCAACACCCCAAGTCTGAGTTACTGGAACAGATATTATGTGTATACTGCCCTAGCAATCTCTGTCAGTGTGGTTCACTTAAAAACAAGCTTAGTACATTTACAGGTAGTTTACCTATAACGTCCTGTAATGCACACGTAGAAACACTGTAGAAATAAAATTATGGTCTTGGATTTGACACTGCTGTAGTGAATGTTTTCAAAGAGTTGAATGGTTTTTTTAAAGACCATACTGGTTTAAATGGTTCGCACTCCGTCAAAAAAAAAAGAAATAGAAAAAAGGAATGCTGAAATGTAGTCTAAATTGCTGCCCTTTCCTCAGACGTGTTAGCAAGTTCCTTCCATCATTCATGGTATATTTTCAATCGCATATTATGTATGTATGTGTTTCTTCATGTACCTGAGTGAAATGAAATTGCCACAGACTTGAATGACTGGCAAACGATAGAAAATGTGAACCCTTACATGTAATGTTATCGACAGGCACTCCAACTGTAAAAACGTGCCCGGCTTCACACTTCCATACTGAAGTGCCAGTACTCGTTAACGTTTAGCCCACTGTACAATTTTTTTTTTTTACCCATTTATTATAGAGTACACACACGCAACACACACATGCACACATACAGTTGTTCACACAGTAGAAACTGTATCAGTAGCCATAGTTGTGTGCCAGGGAACAACTCGAGTGCAACATTATGCCATGAGAGAGGGTGGCTTTGTATTTTCAAGCAATGGGCCCCACATGGCACCCGAGATGAAATTGTGGCATGGTACAGGGAATATCATAGCATTCTCTCTCTCTCTGTCTCGGAGCATTAGCCAGTAGTCCAGGCGATCCATAGATGCGGGCAGTCACGGCAACCATAATGGCCCTAGCGCCGCCGCAGCACGGCCTGCCTTTACCGCCTCCGTGGCGGGTCAAATGAGGACACTGTTTGCACAGCAAACCGATATAATTTTTAAGGCGGCTTCTATTTATGCAGACCTCATCCGACATAATACATACAAGCAAACGCGTACATACACTGATTGTGGAGTGGGCTTTTTTTTTTTTTTTTGGCTGGCATCTGTTGTTGCCAGGCTTTGCTCGATGTTGCAGATTAATTCTATAGTATCAGTTAGGCACTATATACTCCCGCCACTGATAACCAGTTTTGGTGCTGAATGCTTTTATCTTGCTCTCTCGATGGCTGGGACTCATTGGGGTGAATTTTGATCCCGCTTCTCTTCAAGTTGTTCGTGAGAGGAGGCCCCTCCCACCAGTGCATACCAAACAGGGCTGCTTTTTTTTTTGAGAGGGAAGAATGTACCTGATTTTTATCTTGAAGTGTGGTTACAGAGCAAGGGTGTTTTGTTTGGTGGGCATATGCACAGTAGCAGCAGAAATGGAACAAAAGTGAGCAACAGCACTGCATCTATGATATTGTGACAAAGTTCACCGTGTGAATCTCACACGCATATATGTAAAATATGTCCCGACTTCATGATACTGTTATGGCAGATTCCATGTTGCAAGGAAACATGCAAGGGCCTGCTTTGACAGGACAGTTTCCTGGTAAAATCTATGCGCGATTTGACGACCAATTTTGATCTCCCGCCTTCCCTACCCTGGCTGTGTTGACAACTCATGTATATGTTCCTCTATGTGGAGCTTCCAATTGCATATTTCCTCCATGCAGTTTCCTGTCAGAACAAATAAACTCACAGTATTGGAAGGAAACCAATAGAATATCTAACTAAATGACATGGAGATCCCATGAAATCAAATACTGGCTGGTGTATCCAATTCTACTTACACTTGTTGCCACAAATGTGCATCCACCTGATTTTATGGTTTTTCTTTGCTTTACTTATCCACTGGTCAATTTTCCCTTTGTTGACATAGTTGGATTCTGAATCAAATGTATTTGAGGCTTACTGTTCACAGCCTAGCTGTTTGTCAACTGATAGGCCTATTGTTTGTTTCCTTTTAGTGCATATATATTTTGGCTATTTTCATGTTTGGATCGGGTACATGTATAGCCTCTGTGTTCCTTAATCGAGGACAACTGGCCACATTGATGAGTAAGGCATTTTTAACTGTGTCCCAAATCTTAAAATTGTGAAACTGTTGAATGTAATGGTGCCAGACCATTTTTACAATTGGAGTACATTCCAAGCCCCCCTTTCAATTTGTTGAAAATGTGGTCGAGAAGGCTATCGCATGTTAAATCACAGATTTTAAACCACTCCCCTCAGTCGATAGGTATGTAATTGGTAATGAGATTTTATTTTACTTCTTTCATTTCTACTTTCAAGGGCCTCAAATAAAATTTTCATGTTGTTTTGATTTCCAAATTGCTAACTCGTAAATAAAGTCTACTGGTTAAGGTCTAGAACTTGGATGTATTGTATTCTGTTACAAGGTTATTGGACTTGAGCTAAGCGAAATCCAGCCCCTCTTAGGAACAAACCATTTGTTTTAGGAAAGGATGCTGCCTGAATGATTGTGTTCAAATGAAAATTCACCAGTGACAAATCTTTTGACAAAATGACTAATGGTAAGGGTTTGATTGTAGAGGGCAGAAAGAGATATACATGTACAAAAGTACTTGTGCACTGTACTTACATGTACTTTGTTCAGAATGTTCTACACTCCTATTGAGAAAAGGTTAGGCCCTCACATTCATGGTGGTGTGCACAGGGTTGATCTAAAAAGTTGAATTGAGGATCTGGGTTCATGAGAAAAATGCTTACTGTTGGCTTGGATTTTCTTCCCTCTGTTTCCTGTGTCATAGTTTACTCTGCATTTCTGACCCATTCAGTTGTACGACCTTTTGTCCAAGAAAAATCTGGCAGTGAAGGCTGCTGGAAAGTTCACCAGTGAATGCGTGTGATGCAAACCATGTGCCCGCCAGTAGTCCGCGGGCGATTTATGGAGCATGTAGTCTCAATCAGTTGCAGGGGCAGGAGATGTCCTGTTCCTAATTATGTTCACAATCTTAAAACCGAGAAGGCTTGCTGGGGCCAAGCAGGCAATTCCTGCTGGGGCTCTGGCAGTTTTGTGGTGCTCAGTCGGCTGGTAATCCCCTCCTCAAGTGTCCCGATCCCTCTGGTTGTGAAGGGTATTTTTTGGGGGGGGGGATTGTGCAGAATTTGCGAAGGATTTTGAAACTTCTGTAGAAAATCAGTAACAGTTTGGGGGTTTATCATGACTATTAGATTACAGAGAAGTTTGGTTTCGTTCATTAAATGCAGGCCCAAGTTGATCTAATACCCTATTTCATTTGAAAGGAGATTTTAGTCAGAGCCCACAAGGGTATGTGGGAAATTATATTGAAATTGCAGGATTTAGTGCTTTTTTTTTGAATCCCTAATCGTCTCAACACTACAATGTATTGTTTTTTCTAAAGAATTGTTTGTGTTAGATTGATAGCCTCCTGTATCATCCAAAGTATGCACATGCAAAGATTTACTTTTTTATCAATCTAGGGCAAATTCTGTTTTGTTCACAATTCAAGTAAAGTATCTTACTGCATAATGTTCATTTTCTCAGCAAATTTATGTAGTTATTTTATCGGCATTTTCTAAATGATC